GTCATCGGAATCTTCCCCACTTTTATGACTGTAATCTTCTCCTAAGCCATAACGTCTCCAGGTATTTTTATTTGCATTAAGTGAGTGCAGTGAGCAGTGGCTGACGGCTTGTTGAACAGATGTTCCACTTGTTAATTTTAAGATTTTAAATATAACATTTATAAGTGTAGAATCTGGAAAGGTTTCAACTCTACAGGTCTGTTTGATGAGAGAGACTGAGATTCACTCCACGGGGGTAAAAAACGCCTTTTTTTTGGGCTGGGGAGCGACTATTCAAATGACCAGGCTAAAGCTAGATACTGAAAACGTTAAATATATATTTACTCATATAAACTGAACACACTTTATATATATGTAGCTGCATGGCATAACATTCAATTGTTAAAGTATACAGCAAGTCCAGGGAAACTACGGCCCGTGGACCAGATACAGCCCGCTGGGCTTTCTGACTTGGTCCACCAAGATCAGCAAAGACTGAAGTCAATCCTTCTGTTTCATGGACTACAACCAGTCGACTGTCATTTCTCTGTTGATGCCACCAAATGGCAGCAGACAACAAATGAACCAATTTATCTGTGAAAGATCAGATTTATTCTTAATCATAACCATCATATAATTTCAAAGCAAATCATAGAAAAATCACGAGTTTGAAACAAACGTCTGTTGCTGCTCCAGTGCCGTTTGTTCTGATCTTTCAGTTTTTTTGAATAACACCTTAGCATTGATTCCTTTTTTCCCAGATAACGAAAAGATTGCATTTTAGACACAATTTCATAACAAAGAAGAAAATGACATAAAACCAGGCGTCAGCATCAGGACATTTCAGCCCAGTTCAATCTCAACAAATGAAATCGAGTCATAAATCTGAAGCAGACTGAGACAAAACACACAGTTTCTGACCAGATATGATTTACGACTTATAAAGTCGTGGCTTATGAGTTGTTGTTTTTCTCAGCACAGACGACTGACCGGGTTAATACGATCATCTCTGCCTCCACCTGCAGTACTCCACCTTCTCTCAGAGCTGCCGGGCTCCGGTCATTTGGAACAAAATCCTAATTTTACTTTAGAGACAGAGTCCTGCTCAAAGATGGATTTGTCAAAGGGACTTTGACCTGGTGCTAAAGGTAAAGAGGAGAATACGAACACAAACGCGATCATTTTGTGATGCTTTCAGGTGAAAAAAGGGCAGTGATTTACATAAATAATAAAACTTTTTGTCACTAAAGGTGGACTTTTCCATTCCCTTTTTTATATAATTTAAGATTAGTTAAATACTAGTTTATTTTTAATGTAATATTCCTTGGCTGGAGAGAGATATATGAAGATGAATGGATGAATGAATGAAAAATGTCTCCGTCCTCTGAGCACAGTTGAAGTTTATTTCTTACTGTGTGAAATGTATTATATCTTCAAAGTAAACCGTAAAGCTGAGCTTAAAAAAGCCTCTCACACTGTAGCAGATCAGTTTGTAGGGATTGGTCCGGACGTTTCTACACGACAGAGAGCAGACTAAATATTTCACTGCTGTGATTAAGAGCCACTCTGACATCCTTGTCTGGGGAAAATAAATACTTAATTATCACAATGTAAAAAATACAAGAAGGTCAAAGCTTTTCCTTCAGGAATTCTGTGCCAGGATCATTTATAAGATGCTACACACGTCAGGAATAATTATCCTATTTCCCATCGAGGATTATACACATTTTCCACGCATTTCTTAATTATTTAGCAGTTGCTCTGAATTATACAAATGTGTTAATGAAAAAGGCTGAAATCATGATTCACTCTAATTAACGTCTAGATTCAGGTTCAGGTCCAGGTTCAGGTCCAGGTCACGCGATTGCAAAATTCAGTGAAAGTTAATACCACAACACAGTCCAGTAATTGTCTGTAAGGCGTGTGGAGACTCTCCATAATGAATTAGCACATTTTTCACAACAGACATTCACATTCAAAACCTGCTCCTGTGTTTTAATCCATGGGATCAGAAGTACATGTCTGTACCGTAGCACAAACCCATGACCACCATCTCTGTCCTGTACGAGCCAAGGTCAGTTGTCCAGTCTCCTCGTCCTTACACTGTGAACCACAATCTCCTTCTCTGGAGAACCAGTCCAGGTCAGAGCAGCCATTAAATCAGGAGACACGTTTGCCAAGTGTTAAAACAGGAGCCAGATCCTCCTCCCTACTGCTCTCACATCTGCTCAATGTGGCATTATTCCTCCAGCCCTCCCTCAGCCAGTCTACACTCTGCATACTCAGCACTTCCTGTGTCACCCATGTGAAGTCACTCACTCATTTGGACATTATCACCATATTTGATAGTTCAGGGATTCTCAAAATAGGGAGCGGCCCCCCATTTAGTGAGCATGCGGAGGTGGACGCAGCAAGATAATGAGAATTGATTTGTTTGAGCCACTTTTCATACTATCTAGAAAGAAGGCTCTGGAGGCTGCAGCTAAAGTTTGGAAACCACTGCTTTAGTCACTTCACTGTGTGAAGTACAAACACACCAACAGAATCAGTCACAATAACAAGAAACAGAGACAACTGCGGTTTCTACTCTCCTTCAGGAAGAAGTGAAGAAAAACCATGTTAGAAAACCAAGAGGGGGAAAAAAACTAATGTTTTTTCTTCTCACAGCTGAATTTAAAAATTGTATTTGTGCAGAAAAAGAAGTGTCTGGGATTCTGCTCACGCCCGGCACCAAGGTTTGTTTTTTGCTCTGAATACGATTCATTTTCAGCATCATAAAATCTTGATTCATTTCTGCAGGACCGCAGCTCATCACCAGCACAGGCCTTTTCAATTTTTAATTCCATCTGTCAAACATTTGTATTATAATAATCATCTTTCTCTGCCATTCATGTCTTCCAGTAGACATAATCAGGGGTTTAGCCTCCAGGCAACACATGCAAACCAGACACATTTATACACACATAAAAACACACTCAAAAAATGTGCCTACTGCCAGTTTTCAAGCTGTGAAAGAAGGAAATAATTCTTCTATCAGACAATATTTTAACTGATTTTTAACTAAGTCTTCAACCAGTTCCTTTAATTGCCCTGGTTTAGATGTTGTTAAAAATAAATAAATAAACAAATCTGTATTAGAACAATGTTTCTGCTTCAGGTTGAAGACCATTTATGTCATTATATCGATAAAACCAACACATTAATGAACATTTACTTTTACCTGCCAGAAGATGGAATCGATTGTGCTGCCCAGGAAGCCTTCTCTGGTTTCAGATGACAGGAGCTTGGGTCCCAGGATGGTCATGAACTCTTCGAAGTCAACCTGCCCGTCACCTGAGATGAAAAGGGCAGTTCAGATGATGAAAATCACAATCAAAAGACAGCATTTCTCCAAGTCAGTTCAATGCCTGGGATTCCACAGTATCTAACAGGAGGACAGTAGGTACCACGAGGCAGCAGCAGCAGCTCACTGCACCACAGACACAGTCAGCTGTAATTCCTGGAGCTTCTCTGTTCTTTTATTGGTCTTGAATGAGAAGTATGGCTGAGTAAATAACTGACCATGTTCCTGTCTAGTTCTTTTTAGGCTGATGCGCCCGTGAGCAGCACAGCACAGTTAGCCACCAGTGTAAAGCCACCGAGTGGAGCAGGTTGTTAGAGGAAAACAAGAACACAGCCGTGGGTTTTTCTCTGGATCAAATGAGGATGAAGAGCCACACAGCATCGGAAACATACCTGTGTTTAGTATTACTTTTTTATTTTCTGTAACATTTCCGCAGCAGTGTGGATGTTACACCTTAGTGGCTACATTTACAGGGAGACGGACTCTCCTTTCATGTCCCTTTACGTTTATTTAAGGCCAACACTTGTTTACATCCAAGAAAGAACTATCGCTAAGGATTACTGCATTTCACTAAATAATAGTTTGTTTTAATTAATTTATATTGAAAAAATGATGATTTTTGTGTGTGTGTGTAACCCTCTGTGTTTTCACTCTCTCCTTCGTGAGAATACTAACTTAGTTTAGTTCCCTGGAGACATTGGTGACATGTCAAATTAGTGTAATCCTCTGCAGGAGTGTTAAAAGTACTCAGGCTGTACACACTTTGTAGCTCACTGTGATTTTTTCCATCCTCCTGTTATACAGGTCTGTACAGGGACAACACTGAGGCACAGCTACAGCTGAACCAGGATTGGAATTCTGAGTCTCTCAGCTGCAGAGCCAAAGTGATGCAGTACCACCTCGACCAAAGTGTCCTCCTGTCCAACGGCCCAAATACAGACGGCTGATTTAAAGTTGTAATCCATAAAAACTGAACGTCACAAATCCACTCATTGAACCTCCTCTTCTAGAATTGTTTAACTCTTATGTTTTTCTCCTTTGCCTCACTGCCACTGCTATAAACCTCCTCCCCCTCCTGTCCTCCTAAATAACCAGCCCTCCGTCCTGCAGAGGAGGACTGGTTATTTATGTTGTTGAATTAGTGATGCCGTGGCTCTCGACCTGCCCGTGCCTACAGTCCGCTGTTGGCACTGTAACACCTGATGCTACTGTTAGTTTTACAACGCTGTGTGTTTTTGGTTTTGTTGTTTTTTTATGTTGTGAAACAAAACATATCGACTATATTTCTATAGTTACTGTCTGCCAGGAATGCAGATCTAAAATAACGATTTGGGAATGAAAACCCAGGTGAATCAATAGTGTGAGTGCTGAGCCATCCAAAAAAAACTGATAAAGAGCCAGAGTGGGGTATTTACAGTAAACATTGAATTTGTTTTTGTAAATCTGTTAAATTTACAACCTTTTCTCTGAATCCTTATTAATCTCAGCTATATTTCTTCTACAGTCTCAAAATCTGGACAGCAGACGTCACGTCAAGAAGACACATGGAGCATGACAGGTTCACACTGATTAATATTGGAATTGACAAAAGTAGGAAGTCAGACTAGATGTGTCTGAAATGTCAAAACACAGACAGAAATGTATCTTTTTCTATTGGCTGCTACTCTAGTACTCTGTTGCAAACAAGATTTTAAATCTGAATGACACTGTGGGCTGTACAATATGCAATATAAAATAAAGGTTTAGTAAAACACTAGTCCACAGATTTCATTTCTCCAAAAGAAATCCAGATTTCAGGTTTCAATCACCAGATTTTCAGGTCAAACAGGTTTCAAGTCCAAGCTCAGACTTTGTTCTTACAAAGATATTTAAAAATGACACCATAAGAGCGACATTTCCACAGCATCACACCTCGCAGACCTCCTCAGAGAAAAGCGGCCGAGCCCTTCATCAGCACCACAGGACGACTTGCCTGTGTCTTAACGCTGCTGTGAAAAAAAGCAACAAATGTGACCCTGAGGCGCAAAAGCTCCCCTGACAGACCGAAGCAGATGAGTCATGAGGAGAGAAAAAAAAGACAGTAACTTCTAAAACATTAATACCATGTCGTGAACACTTGGGTTTTCTCTCTGCACAGTAGGACTGGAAGGCACTTATCACAAAGAGCCACGGCGAACACGTACGGCACATTTTCAGAGATTCTCTTCATGGAACGATTTGAAATTTTAAGCACTATTTTGCACTTTGAAAATGTCAATCATATTTAAGTACAGAGAGAAGGGCAGCTGCGAGACGTGTCGGGCGTGATTGTGTTGTGAAAGTGTTCTCTTTGAGCAGTGACTCAAAAGATCACAGTCGATGAAGCTATCAGTTAAAAAACGGTTTAAATTTCAGGAAGTTTTACAACATTAGATCCTTTTATGGTTCATTTCCTTTACTCACAAATCTGCTGCAGTTTTTCTTTCGTTTTAGCCCGGCTTGGCTTAACACATAAACCTACTGTAACTATGCAGTAACTGATCCACATGATCCATCACAGATTTTATTAATCTCACAAACTTTCCTTTATCGGCTGTTCTCTGCTGCTGTGAATTTTACTGAAATTCATTTCCGTGTGGAGTGGTTGGTATCAGCAGTGACTACACAATCAAGCGTGTGGGAACACATGTTTTATACATGACGCAGAGGAACGTGTGCTAATATGGTGCATGTGAAGTGTAGATAGAAAAGAATCTGCCTGTTGATGATGAGAGCGTATACGTGACCTGAAGGTGTTCAGATATTTATGATTTTCTGACGTCTGTGCACATGAGAAGGAGATCATTTTTGCACCACGCAGTCCATTTTTACACCCATTTGAAACTGAGCGTCTGCGTGCAAGTGCGTGACTCACCGTCCATGTCGAGCCTCTGCATGATGATTGCCAGCTCCACCTCACTGGGCATGTAACCCAGAGAGCGCATGGCCATTCCCAGCTCCTGTTTGGAAATAAACCCATTTCCATCACGATCCAACACCTTGAACGCCTCACGGATCTCTGCCAAGAAAAAAATTAATATATAACATCCATTAATATATTTATGATAATGTAGCAGCACTACAGCCTGCCACACTTTAGGACAATGCTGGCCAGGAATCTTTTTTTTTTTTCACAAAAGTGCTTCCACTGTTTATGTTTATTTCCTCTCAGTGACAGAGACAGTGAATGTCTCACAACAACAGCGATTCATAATGTTGGTTTGCATAAAACCCTGAGTCTAATGGCTCTCTTTGTGATTCATTCTGCATTGTGTTGCTGGTTATGCACCAGTTACTCAGGTGAAGGAGATCCATTTAGAGCACTGAATGATTCTCATTTCTTTTTAGTGCAGGTACAATTTCTTTAACTGAAATTACAGATAGTCTTTTGTGTCTGGACTCTCATTATTTTAATAACACTTCAATTTGCCTTAAATATAATTTAATAATTTATTGCTGAACGTAGAGGTTGGATATAAGAACCAATGTCTGCATGGAAGGAAGGAAGGAAATGTTAGATTTTGGAGCTATGAATCAGTTGCCTTTTACTTTCACTTCAAATCTGCTCATCTCACATTGTACCAAACAACAAAAATGAACAGAATAATACCATTTCTCTGGTTGGTTGGTTTGGTCATTTACACCATGCAGCCTTAATTCAAATGAACCGTGAGTCAAATCTGCCAGTAAATTAGTTGTATAGTTGGCTCCTGGCACTTGTTTGATCAATACCTCTGATACAGGGGCAATATAAAACACCGGCTCAGTCAGCACCATGGACAGCTCCACAGCTACAGCAAGTATAAATATATCTGAGGTGAAGCTGACATTTACTTCCTAGGGTTTCATGGCCTGAACCTGCAGCATTATAACAGGGACAGTGTGGGTCTGGTAGGTGATAATGTCTCTGAGCCACTTGTTTAGTGGTGAGTGTCGACACACGGCGCAGCAGTAAATCTGAAGGACTGATTAAATACTTATGGGGCGGGAAACGCGCTGCTTTATGCTGCCTCACTCGTTTACCCCCTTGTTTATTTCCTCTGCCCCTCTCCCTGCAGACTCCCTGCTGTGGAGTCTGGTTCAGTATGTGTGGTGAAGAAGAACGTGAATGTTAGCGAAGAGAGAAGATCTCATCTGGGTTTGTTTTTTTCATTAATTGTTCCAGCCATCTTTGCGTTTTAAAGGGTATTTCCCTTGGAGGTAATTTTGACCTTGGTGATCATTTTCGGTGCATTAACCTTCGGTGCAGTGGACGACAGCATTTCATTTGCTATTGACAATATTTTAAAAGATTTATTACAAAAAAATGATTCATGTCTGGACACTTTTACTCTGTGCAGCGCCAACTTTATATTAGACACAGGCCATTTCAGCTTGTCCGTTAACAAATCTGTGCAAATGTAGTTACAGAGTGCTGCAGGCGAGCTCCAGGCTCCGAGCGAGGACAAACCTGCCGTCTAATGACACACATTAGTGTGCTGTCATTCTCGCTCTTTGCCCAAAATTATCCACATTAGTGTGCTGTCATTCTCGCTCTTCTTTGCCCAAAATTATCTTCCTGTCTGACACCGAGGACTTGAATCATTGGTAACGTTACTATATAATCTCATGTCCGAGTTTAAGTTGAGAGTTTATTGAGAGACATGTCTTTTCCCAGAGGAACCACATATTCAGCGCCTCCTAGTGGCAGCTTATAGCAGCAGATCTGCCTTTAAAACAAGAATTTTTCAAGTGGCAGATCAATAGTTTTTTTTTTTATATTTTAGTCATTAAAATAAGAGCTTTACAAGAATTACACATTTAAAAGGCAGGACAAAAAGTCATTCTGATATCCATCACCATCATCATCCGCATTTCAAGTGCTCTTCCTTTAACAGCTTCCTGTTAGAAGTGCTGCCGCTGCACAACTGTGACATGAGGCCAAATAAATGCCTCCACTTGTATACAGAACATGTATAGTTTAATGTTAAACAATGGCCCATTAAAAAAGAAAGCAGCTGTCTTCCTACACCCCTGTGAACCATAACAGTGCTTCTTGAGAGAAGGTGACACTGGAGAACAGCTGAGACTGATGCCAAAGCTGAGGCCATCTGACAGCTCCCCGAGCCGCTGCAGGCCCCTGTAATGGTCCAGGAAAAGTACATTAAATCACCTCTTTATACTGTGTGCAGCAACTGTACAAAGAGCAGAACATGGAGGTCGCGTGAAGTCGATGTGATTGTACACGACACAGGGTTGGTGCTACTAGTTTCAGAAAGTGCAAAAGTACAAAAGACCTCGTGTGAAGTCATCAGTATAATTCATTCATAAATGAACTGAATGCCACAGTGTCAGCCATGGTGACCTTGGTACAGATGCAGCTGCATACAGATGATTTCCACAGTGATAGTCCTCACTCCTCAGCCTGACATTCAGCTTCATACAAGGGTGTGAAAACGCAACAGAAATATTACCATGAAGTTCATCATCACCAAGTTAAACTGATGTATTCAGTTAAAGTCTACCTCAGGTGTGTCAAACATATGACCCGTGGGCCAAAATCAGCCCACTAGGGGGTTCAATTCGACCGACTTATTTTCCAAAATCAGCCCACTAGGGGGTTCAATCCGACCGACTTAATGAATTTTAAAAGTAAAGAAATGCACAAATACTTCATGTCTGTGAAGTTTTATCAAAACACAAATACTTCATGTCTGTGAAGTTTTTTCAAAAGATATTTCATTAAATAAAAATATTTTCTAATATAATTGTAATTATGTTATGATTTTACTGGTCTGGAATTGTTTAAAAAATGGTTAGTAGACCAGAAGAAATAAGTGGTTGAGATGAAGGGTGCATTATGGGTGTTTTTTACCATATCAGTTAATAAGAGTGTGACTGCGATCACATTTATTGTCGCCGTGATAAGCCGCTGACCTTCAGACCTTGCCCTTCTTCTCATTTCCCCACTTTACAGTTAGCTCTCAGAGAGATGAAAGATGTCTGTGGTGAAAGTCTGCAGCCTGTGCTTTGTTTTACACCATCCAGTTCATCACAACCATTCTTTTTTATTTCAACAGCTGGAGAAAAAAAAAAGAGAGAAAACATACACTGCTAATATTTCCATGCATATTAAAGCTGACAGAGTCTGGTAATTACTGTTCTCCATGCAGCCAATTTCTCAAACGGCAGCGAAATGAAAAATCATTGGATTCATATTTAGGAGATTTCGGAGGAATCAGGTTTGATCGCTGCCTGCGGAGCTGCGGCCACTGACTCCTGAAGAACATTATTGATCGGGTTTGTGTTGTACGGAGCCGAGTGATTACTCTCTGACAGAGGGTCCAAAACAAAGGCTGCATGAAAAAACACTTAGCTACAGCAGAGCAGTAATTCAAACAGTACGAAGACTCCACGGAAGATAAGACACACACACACACACACACACAATCACTGAACATCGTTAGCTCAGATGAAGAAAACACTACTGGTTTTCTGTAGCATCAGATGTTACCAAATTACAATACACAAAAATCTGCCCATTGTTTACCCCTATTTATTGACTTAATAACTGGCCAATATTACTGTCTGATTTTAGTGACTTAACCCTGTCAGGAAGGTTCGCTCAGGTATTTTCTGCAGCTTTGTCAACTTTCATTTTACCTCCGTCAGGCTTTCAGGCGTGTCAGGCGTTTTATTTGATCTGGTTTTTCGACCTTCAAAAATGAATAATTCAGAAATCTGAGTTAACATCATCGTATCTGAATGAAAAACGGTGAAAATGATTGGAGCATGGTGACGGGTCCTGATCCACCTCTAATTGATTTTGTGTCTTTTCCAACAACTGAAAGAACCTCTGAGGGGAAACTCATTTTCAGTCCCATCAGTCTGAGGGCTGGACACCTCGTCCCTAAGACACCCCTCAGAATTCAAGAGAAAGCTCCAATGGAAACTCAGATTGCAAACAAGATTGTAGTCGTTTTCATTAAAAAAAAGGGATTATCTTTTCTTAAGTTTAGAAACCTTTATTACATTTGAATAAATTAATTTTAAGTTTCTGTGCAAATTAAAATATTGGACTCACATCAGTGAATTTGAATAATAGCAGCAGGTGAACTAACTTGTCCACCTGCTGAGTTAAACATTGAGAACTCTGAGTATTTTTTTTCATTTACAGTAACATCTGGTAAACCTTGATCACTGACGTGGAGAGAAAATACTTCAAAAGTTGAAATGTCTTACCGTCCAGCTCCTCCACAGAGATATTGGCCAGGACGTCACTGTCACTGTCCGACAGCGAGCGGCTCAGGTAGTTTCCCTTGTAGAGCAGACCTGCCGTCACATGATGGAACGGCATCTTCTCGCTGAGAGACAACACAGAGAAAAGTTTTTTAGAGACAGGTGGAAATTCATAACTTTGACATTTGATTATCTTGATCTAAACACAAGCACAAAGAAAGGGTAGTGAAAACATGTGACTCTAATGTAACACTATCCCACAGGATGGCAGCAGATTGCTTTACAAACCAAGAAAAAAACTCAAGAGCTGATTACATTTTCAACTGTGTCTTTCTTCAATTCCTGTATCAGCATTGTGTTCAACTAAACAGGTCCAAGTAGAACAATGTTTTTTCATTATATATATACTTTTTTGTGACGTTTTTCTTTGGTGGTGGGCAGTGGAATTTTTTTTAATGTAAAATATGTGCTAGGGTTCAAAAGGATGGAAAAAAAACTGCTGTAATCAACTGCAAGAAGTCTTTCTCATTTGTGTTATCGATGGAGCTCCAACAAATTAGCATCTGAGGGCCACGGCACAAATGAGGTGTATGAATAAAGCAAGAGCCATTCACTAAATGGGTTAGGGGACAGACTCATAACTAGTAGTAAATGTAGCCAAGTGTGTGTGTGTGTGAAGGTATGTGCTTAGGTGTGTGTGTACAGTGACTGTGGAAATGTGACGGCACATTAATTATTCAATAAATCCTTGCCTGAGGGCACGGTGAGAAAACGGGAGAGCAGAGCGAGAGGAGAAGTTTGTGCGATTGTTTCCTTCATCCTAATTGGATTCCATTACAGTGAACACTTAGTGGAGATAGGACTGAATGAGAAGTTGAAAGAGAAAGGACAAAACCAGAGGAAAGAGTACTTTGAAGTACAGAACTTGCTCCCTGAGAAACAGTTTCCCTTTTTCATCAGTTAACTTCACACAACATTTATATTACTGTCGAGTTCTGGATTTTGTGCAGGTCTTTTATTACAGCAGGCTCCTTGATTTCTTGGGGGTATTTTATGGCACAATTTAAAACTGCAACCTTCACTTTTATGCTTATTGCTGTAACTTGTAATTCTAATTCTAATGATGGATACGGTGAATGTTAATGTGCTTTTGTTCGTTTGTGTCGCTGCACACAGCACAACCTTCTGTGGTTGACTGAAAACATGGGGCCAGATGGCCAGATTTTAACAGCGTCAAAGAAACTTTTAACCAGTAATTTGTTTGTAATAAGACAGAAAAGCTCTCAGTTTGTCAGATATTTTTCAATTTTTCGACTAACAGCGTGCTTGTGGATGTTCACTGAGTGGTTTTAATTGAGGAAGAGCAAAGAGACAATTTCGCTCTGCTATAAGACACAAAATTCACAGAACCACTGACATAAAAAATGATCACAGAAAACAGGAAAGCATACAGCCTTGAAAAACACATTAAGGGTTGAGAAAAAGATTGGAGTGCTTTTTAAATTGCCGTTAATTTAAACCATTAATTTATAATGAAATAAAACCACATTACTGCAGCGCTAGATCATCCGATTATATTGAAGAGCAACGCAAACAAAGTTTACAAAACTAATGTAAATATATTGAAAAGTGCATTTTTATGATGCCATAAAGCTCCGTTTTTTAAATCCCTCTGAACTGTGAGCAGTTTGAACTTTCTTAGATTATCTGATTTTAACCATGTCCACCTGCTGCAGCAAATCCTCAGAAGTATCTGCCATCTGCCGCCTAACAGATTGAAAACAGGTCGTTGCATCTTTCTTTTTTGTCACTTGTAATCAGCATCCCACACATCAACATGTGTGGGATGTGTGGAGTCCAGACGCAGGTTCAGGATTTTTTCATTTCTTGAATCATCCGTTATTTATTCATCTCTCTCTCACTCGGTTTTCATTATGAATATTACTGGTACACCTCCCGTCTGCTCACTCCTTATTTCTGCTACAAGTAAAGCAACATATTGACAGCTGCTGGGTGAAGGTTTATAATGTCCTTGCTGTGTCGCTACAGCCGCTGGGTAAACACGTAAATAAACAATCTTAATAATTTACCAGGCAGCGACGCGGTTTACATTAACTCCATCACAGCAGGTTCTTCTGTTGCTGATTCTGCAGTCATGTTTTTAATGACACGAGTTTTCTCACATTGATGAATGACCAAAAAAAAATTAATGAAGACTTTACTTAGCTAAGAGCTCAGGCTACACAGCACTGTGCAGTGACGGCTTATGAAGAAAACAGAATGATGAAACTGAAGTCAACATCAGCACTCGAGGATGTAGGTGTCTGCCAATAACTATAGGAAAACATATTTTGAAGGTAAGAGTCACAAGGCCCTCTTTACAGTAAAGCAGTTACAGCCATTGGCTATTTCGATATATTGTATTATATTATATTTCATTGGACTTTTTTTCTAGAGTCTAACATCCCTGAGCGCTCGACTCATACAGACCCAGAAGATAATAGCATGTAAACCCACCAACATGGCCTGCCCTACACTTGGACTAACTTATTAGCTGAGGTGAGCTTACAACCAAACACATAACATTTTATGTTATTTCACAAGTTTTATTTCCACCCTGAGTCCTGTTTGCAGTGTTCCCATGTATTTCAAAGCTCTGTGGCTGGTTTACAGATGTTGAGGGAACAAAACTACCCCAATATGTTGGCCAGAACAAAAAAGATGCATTTAGAAAAACACAGATTCAAGACAAGTCAAAAATGGGCAGTTATAAATCACCACAGTTGAACAGGTGCTCAGACCCCGTCCCCTATGTTATTCAATTAAGACCTAAACTAATGTCATTCATAACCACAGTTCCTGTGAATAATCACCCCTGATATTCAACCTGTAACGAGGATCCAAGCTGTCCACAGCCCTCAGCTTTATTATCCTTGATTAAATCGATCCAGGTCCCAGCAGAGGCCCTTCAGAAGCAGGGCCACAGCTCACAGTAATAACTGGAGTCATGAAGCGATCACATAAGCTTCTATTTTTTTCTCCTCTTCATCACACAGTGACTCTTTGCATACCAATTAGGAAAGAATTAAAAGGATTAAAGAGTTCAAAGTCCTCATAACTCAGATAAGATAAGAAATTAATAGAAAAAAAAACCTTTTTCCTCCAATAATAATTCACTTGATGAGCCGCTTCATATTTTTATCAGATTTAAGGTCAATCCCCTAATTCAAAACAAAACAAAAAAATTTTGGAAAAAAAAAAATTACTAATTAGTTCGAGGTGTGACATTTGGACAACCATGACCAGAGGATGTGAACATTCACACATGGACGTGAGCCTCGGAGGAGATGTGAAGTCAGTCTCTCTTTTATGGGACACTAACTCAATCTTTACACCACTGTTTGTGGCCATTAGCTGATGCTGTTTTCCAGATGGACTTTCAGACGTTCAGTGAGTGAGTGAGTCAGGAGTCAGTGTTTGGCTCACAGACGTATTTAACAGATGAGACACTGGTCTGTTGATGGCTGCACTAGCCGTGATTGGACCTGTGCTATTTTACTCAGAGCGGCAACACATCACTCTCCTGCCGTTTGCAGTCGAGTCCTTCTACACTGGCTGAATAACAGGGACTGCAGGTAAAAGGTTAAAATACGGTTTTTATCAAACACTGTTCAGGCGGGTGGCTTCATTTAAGCTTCTTTACCATCGATTGAACAAATTAGGGTTGTTTTTTTTTTGTTCCACTTACGAATGACTTTTGTTGTCAAACTCACTTCAAAACGAATCAACATAATGAGGCACAACAGACCAGGCTGGTAATTATTTAATTGTATTAACGGTGAATATTTCTTATATTTGTAA